GCGGAATTAGGTTGCCAGCCTAATGTCCAACCTCTGGTCTGGAGGATGAAGATATATCTAGTGATATATGAGACCTATACCGTTTTTAACGCCGAATTCGAATGGCGCTCTGATTTTTGTTGTTTAATAACTTAGCTTCTGAATAAACATACCTATAGTTTATTTTCGTGTTAAAGAAAGCGATCTTATGCATCAATAAGATATAATTTTGAATTATCCTCCTATATAGCTAATCGATACTTTTCTCATATAATATTTCTCTTCCTGCTCTATGTCTTTTTACTATACTAAAAAAAGATTCTTTTTCTATTCTAATTGTCATTTATCTATTTACTCTTTACTTCGTTAATTGGTGGCATTTGAGACACCCTCGTTATAGACCTCTCGAACTTAATTGGTTAAAAAAAATCATTCGCTACGTAAATACGTATTGAGCGCGTCCGTTCTCGTAAAATTTTTTACACGTTCTCGCGCGAGCCGACACGCGTTGCGAAAGGATTGTGTAATCACAACTTAAGCGGATCATTTTCCGTAATCGAGATATTGCGCGCGGTCGATACCCGGGGGACTTCCATCACGGTCGACTGAAGTCCGTTTCCTCATGAATCGACCCGAGATCGAATGGACACACCGCAAACAATCGCCGCCGGTTCTCAGGAGCGAATCGAAAGCAAACGTTTCAGTACAGCTACGATGTATCCTCGACAAGTCTTATATCGGGATAATTAGAAGAGAATTGCTTTGTTATTTTCTACGTCCAATAGGACGCTTAGCAAGCTCGTTCGCAATCTACGCGCGGTCTGTACCTTATGTACTCGGAATTTAATTACATTCGAATAGTGTCTCTTTCCCATGAGAGTCTCTCTCATTATTTTACGATGTAATTGCACCCTGACAATGAGAAATAACACAACTTTTTTCTACTTCTACGTTTTCCGAGAATAACTCTGACTTTTTACATTATTACAGAATATTTAAAAAATACAGGATAACTGCAAATTGTATTCTGATAAGATTGATTTTTTTCGCGAGATTTTATTGTTCTTCATTATAAAAAGAAAACATATAAATTTTTCTGCTCACAAAATCGTAGTGACATTAATAATATTAAAAGAATGTACAGTAAATATGAATCTCTCTGTTTCTCTTTCCCTCTCGGCTACTAAAGCTTCTTCGTGCTAATATTCGTCAGTTATAAAGCGAAACATATTCAGTTACTCAATGCATATTCTACCTTACTTAGGTAATCGCCGTACGCTATCCAGATAGTGCGCAAATAATACCGTTACAAGAACACGACATCCTAGGCATATCGTGTACACCTGGTGTCGTTGCCTTCTGACGCCAATCGTGTTAGGTGTTTTAACGAGCGAACTTCTGCCTGCAAATTTTCGCGCAACCGTTCTTATGTAAGACATTCCGAAGATCTGATATCGACCCGTTGAGAGATGTTTGCAGCGCATTAGCAATTCGATATACCGTTACAAGTAACGTTCGTCACTTTCGCGAACGTTAACAATGTGGTCATTTGCAATGCCTAGTCGCATAACAATACCCACACAATGACAAAGGAAAAGCTCTCTATTGGTGAGAGAAAGAGAAACCGTAGAAGGTTATTATTCGCGGTTATTATTCGTACGTCTGATCAGAATGAGTGGGAAATCTATCATAGTCCAAGACTTAAAAACTCACCCGGGGAACTCTCAACAATCGGATCGTTTGTTTTGAAAAGTGCATGACTCAATACAATTGCATTTCATAACAGAAAGACAAAGAGATATATAACAGAGAATAAATGATACCCGCGTACAGATTCGAATGGATCGAGTTACATTTTCTAAGCATTGCACTCCGTGTGTTTTATTTATTTTTTTTTCATTTTGTGCTACTTTAAAGCTTCAACACGTTTTGTAGTTTCTACACTCATTGTACAAAGAGAGAGACATTTTTTGATGATCAATAAACAATGAATTAAATTGAGTAATAATTTGTATTGAAACACGGCTTTTCAATTTCATTTTGTTAGTCAACAACCGCAACAAATACCGCGTTCGCAAATAGTAATAAATATTGATATCGATGCTGCCGTTATTAGCGTGATTTAAATCCCCAGGAACGCGCAGATTGCGCGGAAAGTAATCGCAAATTCACGGAAAGAGAAATATCTCGTACATTATACGCGTATTATCAGCACATATGTGCTGTTGTTTTGTCGGCGATTGTTCTGTCTCTGCGAGAAGTGGAATGGTTTGCCGCAGGATCACAAATTATCATAACGACATTCCGAGGCTATCGTCAATGCCGTCTGTTTGCCTGAACGAACTGAATACGATGATAGTATTATTTTCCAGTGAGGAAAAAAAAACATGCGATCTTCAATTTCACACCGATACAATTACGCTATTTTAATCAATATATCATAAATATGCACTCTCAATAATTTATTAAGTAAAGAGAATTTGAAGAAAAATCAATAATGTTAATCTTGTTTCGATATTACTTCGTATGATATATATATGCAAATTTTAATCACCAATGATTACATTTTAGATTGAACCGACTCGGGAGGAGATAAACGAAGTACTTTTTAATTACAGCCATATTCCGCATTCCGCGCGCGGCTCGAAACGTGACGACGACCACGAGAAGCGCGGGAAACCGTAACGAAATCGTGATCCACCTTAATACAGGCCTCACGATTATTGCGAGAGACTGTCGCATCGTTCGTGGCCGCCGGGCATCGAAGCCATCGCCGAGCCAAGTATTTTACGTGCAAATGGAAATCATGGGTTGTGCTTATACCTCCTTTCCTCGTCTTCCTCTTCGAGACCTATTAGGTATAAAGAAAAAAGAAAGGAAAGGTGGAGAGAGGAGTGGAGAAAGAGATGGGCTACCGCACGCCGGTGCGCCGCGTCGGGAGCTAGGAACGAACCATTAAGCTCGTTAAGATTTAAATCCGTGGCCGGGTACGAGGTTTTCCGTGCGGTTTCCGCTTGACGGGCGTGGCGTCTGTTCTCCATCCATATAGGCGACCCATACGTCCCACATCTTCAACACGATCTGCGTTTTCTCTCTGCGGGGCCGCGAGTATGCGATAATCGAGCCGCGAGAGCTCGCCTACGTGGTAACTGTACATTGTGGGTCATTGCTTGCGATAAGTGCCCTGAATGTCCGACATTTTTGCGAGATGTTAATAGGCTCGATCTTGGACACCGTGCGCGTGCAGGGATATATTCTCCTTTATCGATTAGCTATGCTTACCCGACACGACGACGTTGTCATAGAGAAGCGGTTATGGGCGAAATTAAATTTGCATTAACGTCACAGGCCGGCTCGACCCGCTCGCTCACTACGGATTTATGCCAGTCTTCCGGGACGGAAATCGTGCAGCTGGAGGGCAGTTACTCTCCTAGAGGAAATTCACCTACTTTTAACGATTATGCACGATTTCACGCGGCAATCTCGATCGCTTCATCGTTGATCCATCACTATCGATACACGTAGAATATCCATCCTCTCTTTAAAACGCTTTCCCGTTAATGACACTTTGATAAATCGTACTTCGAACTCCATCGAACGCACAATTACAAAGTTATTGGAAATTATTTTCTCACTCGGTGAAAGAATGCGAAGCGAAATTATTGCTTTTCAGTTTATTTTGAACGATTCTCTTTAACTCAACTAATGGTGCAACAATAACTCAATGCTGAAAATTGCAATGTTATTATATAGCAAAACAATGATTGAGAATTATCGAACTCTCTCTTCTGTTGTCAAATAATCGAAAGGAAACAGTTAAAATTATCGAGTTCGTTGAAGCATTGTTATAGAACAGAGCAATTAACGGTTGAAAGATTTCGAGTATTGTTAACGCTGCCTAACTCACTGCATCTTGGATTGACGTCAGAAGTAAAAAAAAATACATAAAGAAACTTTCGCGGAAACTTTCTATAAATTTATATTAAAATGTAAGTATTTTTTAATAAAACAACATTTATATCTGAAATTGAATTATGCCTAACCTACAGAAAACAAAACAAGCAATATGACAGTTGAATTGAGATAAATATAATTTTACTTTATTCTGAAAATAAAATGAAAGTTTTCTGTACATTTTTTTACAAGTGTACTCTATCAAACAGAAATATCGTTTCGTTGAAATATTTTTGTTTAAATATATTTTTTATAAAAATATTCATTATGTATTTTCTCGCTTCTGGCGTCATCAATGTAAAAATCCGTAGTGAGTGGTTAATATCGGATTGCTACCTCTTCCGCTAAAACCCAAGTGCAAAATCTCCTCAATTCGCAATTAAAAGTTTCGATCCGTCACATGCGAGAACGCAGAATCGATCGATCGCGGATCTACGTTTTTAACGGCGCGGCGCCGATAACGCACCTGCGGCGCAATAATGCGTGCCTTGACGAATGAAGTGTATTTCATGTCGCGGTCCGTAGGAGTGCTCCCGTTTTTCGAGATAATCGCAGTTAGAAACTCGCTGATCCTATTCACGAGCTAAGCGAATTAAATTCGAAGGCAAATCGCTTCGCCCGGGCGATTGTCGCGCACGTGTACGCCTTTTATCGACAACACGTAATCAGATGCGCGTGTAATCAACTCGCGGCTACTCCGAATTAACTTAAGCGATAAGACAATTAACGGGATCGAGGTATAGAGATTATTATCGACGCTCGCAATTATCGTGCGTCCGGTGCGCGATTTGAGATTCAATTGCGATTTCCGCGAAACATGCATAAATCGTGAAAACTCGATGAGCTGTCACCGCGATCGGCTACTAGATTTTATATACGATTACCAATTGGATTCGTTAAATCAGTGAGATAAGAGAACTCTTCTCTGCGAGTGTGATTACAAAACTCACAGAGGTATAATTCAAAGATAACAAATAGTAAACAAGATCTTCTGCAATAACATGGTATGCTGATATTGTAATGAACATCGAGATAAATATCCTCGTCATTTTTAAGCAGCTTCTTACCTTCGTACGAGATATGGCGAAAATCCTCGGTAGCACGAGCGATGGCGGTGAGGATCTGCAACGTCATCGCGTACACGGTCCACCGCTCCATCTTGGCCGCTTGCCGTTCCTGCTTCTGCAACATGAAACATCGATTTTTTATTCTGACACGTTCTTTTACAGGTCATGTGGGAGTGGAGCCGGAATCGATTATCAGGGCTTCTAATTGGGACGCCAGGCATCTCGGGTAGCACGCATTACCGGGGTAGAGAAAGCCTGACTAATGGTGGGATATTGGGAAAAGAGCAAAATGCTCACAGAAATAGCCAAGAAGAGAGGAAAAAGGAGATGACAAATCGACGACAAGAGAGAGAGAGAGAGAGAGAGAGAGAAAGGCTCTATCTTCGTTCATCTTTGACATTTGCATGTTCGTCGAGTCGTTAGGTTATGTCCAACGAAACGGCCTTGGACATTTGCTATGTCTGCGAATAAGTGGGCAATGCGGGCATGCTGCAATTATAATTGTGCAGAGATAAACCGCATAGTTATTGACGGTGCGATTAAGATCAATCGGGCCATTTCTGAATAATTTGCGACAGATTCTACCAACGATTTCTTCGATGATTCTCGACAATATAACTAGTAACAGTCACGTGTGTTCCGTAATGTCCACCAATTAAGTCACCAATGGCTTATCTAGTAACGGTCTGCTGGAAGGATCCTCGAGATCATTTTCAACTCACCCCGCTAGTTCTCGTTAATGCAAATCGCGACAATTAAATCCACGCGTGTGGCGATTAAATTGTAGCGTACCGTTTAAGTAATTGATTCGATGAGTTAATAAAGTCCTATTAATTCTAGAAACTAAGTTAATAATATAGAAGAGAAGGGAAACTGGAAACTATATACTAAACGCAACAATATATGATAAAAGATAAAGATACAATAAGCTTTCTCAATGAAAGCTCTTTCTTTTTTAGTTGTAATTATGTTCGTTTATCACAGTTAAAAATTACTTCTTTTAACAACGTATTTATAATTAAGCAAAATAACTTAAGATTAAATGATGACACGAGCGTTTTGTAACAGGATGAAAAACGTAGCTCAACACGTATCCAATTAACGCGCGACTATTTAAAGGCGACTATTTAAAGGCTAGCCAAGTCGTGGTGCGCCAGTCGTAGAATCAACTTCTTACGGCGCAGTACCATTATGTCGAATAATTACCAGATCACCTTGAGATCGGACAAAAATCGCAACCGGACCGGACATGCCGATTGGGATCCCCAGAGAAGCTTTATATCTCGCCAGTGCTACCGCCTTTCTCAATGGACGGTAATTAATTATGCGACCCGGAGCACTCGGATCAACGACGCTTCTGTCCTGTCAATTAACGTCCACCTTTGTTACTTGCTCCAGTCTGCTCACAAAAAAAACTGTCACGATTATCTGACGAACATGTATTCGATCGAATATACTGTGGTCATATAGAATCATGCTTTTCTTTGTGCACAAAAGCACCGTAAAAAAAACAGCAAAATATACTGGATGAAACATATTATATTAATATAATTTATTGTATTAGAAATCATCGTATATATCTATTTATATTATTTTAATAAAATATTTTGATTTCGATGAAATATAATTTATATGATACAAATAAAAATCGAAGTAGACACTTTCCTCATAAAATTATTTTATGACCATCTCACTCATCGCAGTAAAAGCTTAGCAGTTCAATGCTGAAAATAAACCGCAATAAATCGCTGTGAAACTATTCGCGAAAAGGAGAACAATTAGCCTTGAAATTTCAAAGGCGATTCTATTCTATTCCGTTCCGCGACGATGATCGCGTAAAAACGGACTCGGATAATTCGGCCGATCTCTCCTTTTACGCTTATTTTACAACGGTCAGCCGCGATTATCGCGTTCCAATTCGTTCCAGGCCTGGCGGCGACGACGAAAAAAAAAGGTGGCAGGCGGGGTATCTGTACGTGCACACCCCGGCAGCGATCGGAACGACCTTAATGCACGTGAGGCTCCTGAGGAATGCGCGTACGCGCCGCATATATACGATATAGTATCTCCTGTGAGATGATTTATTCATCTTGGCATCGTGAGATCCGTCTATGGCGAAATCTCGATGTTGTACGTGTCATTCATCGATATTCATAAATGTCACAGCTGGGTCCGTGTGATTCTGACAGATTAACCTTACCTCTCGTAACGTTACACGCTTGCTCGGTGGTGACGATTTAGACTATTTAAAGTTAGACCTGTCCAATTTGAGTTCCAGAGCCAAAACGCAAAGCCATCGACGCAAAAAGTTCAATGTAAAGATTTCAGAAGCTGTAAAATATTGATAAGCGTATCGCTCAGACATATATTTCTTTATACAGTCCTCGAGATTTTATCCATATTGATTTTTTGTGTCGACAGCTTTGCGTTACGGCTTCGGAGATGAAATTGGTTGGGACTAACTTAGAGGATTAGATATAAAGGCAAAGCCGCTTACACAGTAGCGATAGATTTTAGATTCACTCTATTAAAGAAAAAAAAAGAAAGAAGAAAATACTATATCTTTATTTATTTCAGTATCATCAATCTAACGCCACATGTCAAATAGAGTATTGAGCAACATCGAATCACGATATTTGTTTTCGTGATAACGAATCAGTCCAAAGTGATTGAACGATATCTCATGTCGAAGATACTGATTTAGCGGTTCTCGCAAATCAAATGAACGTTCAATCGTTACGGACGACGATAGCCATAAGTTTATATGTTATCGAAACTGCATCTGTGGATTTATGTCATGCACATCAATGATGAATGGATCAACGAAATATCTAAAGGGGATGTCGTTATTATCGAAGAGCGCCTATATGGCGAATAAGAAATATCTAACTAATTAAGCTGATAAATGCATGTACTACGTGTACACGTGGTAATTTGTTAGACTGAGCTCAGCGTTTCAGATGTTTAATGTCAAGTGGAAAGGATACTCTCCTGGGTTTGTCACATGAAGCTCGCGAATCGGTTACAAAGTAAAACTCATGATTACACTGAAAAAAGAGTTTGGTTGGATTATTTAGAAATCTGGTAGATTGAACCAGTAGGTCTGTTCAAAAACGGACGAATCAGAATTCTTGTTATAATTACGGGATGAATTTGATTAATTCTTTCTAGTTAAATTTACCAAAATTTTTTGTTGATCGAATTAATTTTTCTCGTTAATTATACCAGAAATTCTTGTTGATTAAACAATTATTTTTGTAACTTCTATCAAAATTTCTTGTTGAATGAATAAATTTTTCTCGTTATAATTATACCAGAAATTCTTGTTGATCGAACAATTATTTTTGTAACTTCTATCAAAATTTCTTATTGAACGAATAAATTCTTCTCGTTAATGGTACCAGAAATACGAAATACGTCCATAATTTATGTGCTAAGCAATATTATATTATAAAGCGATCATAACAAAAATTCAAAAATTAAATGTATTATTATTACCTTTAAAAACTTCTAAATACTTCTCGAAGTTCCATTGGCGAAGAAGAACACAGGTTTTTTCGTCAGTCATAACGAGCTACATAACGACAGGAGACAAATCTATAAAAAATTATGTTGCTGCAACACAGCCGAGATACAAACGCGTCCGTCCTGGTACACTTTACAAATATATCCGGAGACACGGTAATCACTTTTAACTGCACGGCTCGACAACGATCTGCGATCACGCGAATCACGAAATGATAAAATATGCTCGCACTGTTCGCACTTGCGAGCATTCATGCCGCGACTTGCGCCAACTTGTACAATAATAAAACTGCTATCGTGCGCCAACGTTAACCAGAATTCTGGTAATGTTGCGTACGCTAGTGAATATAACTAGAAATTTTGTAGATCCAACTAGAAAATATTAAACAAATCCTTATAGTATAATCTACTAAACGGTCTAGTTATAAAATCTCGAGTTCTGTTATAATAATCAGAAATTCTGCTAGATTTAACCAACATGCATTTAATCAAATACATCTTGTTGATACAATCAAACTATTTTTCTCAGTGTACTTTTACACTAAAAATTAATACTAACAAAAAATCGTGAACATATGTTAACTTTAAAAAATGAGTTTTTTTACTTGAAAAATTGTAACTTTTTAAATTTATAACTCTTCTGCACTCTTGAAATGATTTATACATTATGCTCGGGTCATTTTGATCCAGAGTGAATAAGGGTTAATAATTATTGATAACAGAATTTTATAAATTGTTAAATATATCTTATATCTTGAGCTCACATAGAGAGTTAATTTCTAATTCACGATTCTTGACTGAATATATTGCTATTACTGGTCAGTAGCTTCATAAAATTATGTCATTTTATATTTCTTATCTATATGCAAAAGACATCGTTACGTAATTCCAAGAATTTGACTGCGTCTTAATCCATGAAAAAACGTCGATTGGAGCAATCACTGTATTCTTTGTCCTAGCAATCTAATCGCGGCTTTATTTTCACTATCGCCTCGCCATAATCATTACTCTATCGTTTGTTTGCCGGCTCACGTGTCGATGTTTATGAATTCTCGACTATACCTCCGTATCTTACGACACGTCGGGTTCAAGCTTAAGCTCATCCGTTATTTTGCTAGCATCCGTGGCCTCTATCGCGCTCGGATCTCGGGTTCGAGTAGCAGAATACACGTATCTTTCTCCGTCCATTTCTATTCGCTTATCTAAGAAATGCGCGACGTTACTTTACTCGTCGTGGACCGTAGCAACGCGGACATTTATGACTACACCATTAGTCTTTATACTCGGCGCGGCGTCCCGCGACGTGCCGAGATCTATCGCTATTTTGTGCTCGGACTCACGTCCCGCTCGACTGCGCCTATATCTATTCGCGCCGACCTATTTATACGTATGTATATCCCAAAGAGAGAGAAAGACCATAGCTTATTTTATTCCAGCGTGAAGTAAGACACACGTCTCACCCCGCGTTTATCGCGAGGTAAACTCGTAAAACTTTGACTCGTGAGTCGCGCGCGTGTGGACCACACAGAGCGATCCGACGCGATCCAAAAGTCAGGGTGTACACGAGGTAACACAATAGACGAATAAACT